TCACATCCTCACAGAGGCTTCTTTATATTCATCTAATATCTGAGGTTATTCTTGAAAATCTAGCTCAACTTTTCTCTATATATTTTCCCATAATTAGGAAATAATACTCGTGTAACCGACTATTACACGAATATTTAGAGCGTTACATTGAGACCGGCGTATGTTTGCACATTTCTTTATTTTACCCTTCTTGAAATTCTTTCTGCTGTTTTCTTACTCTCTTGTCTTCTATCTTTCTTTCTGTTGCTATTCTCTTTCATTTATTCGACCATTTGAAGAAACATATAAGCTGATTCAACATTCTCATGTAAATTGGGAAATCCCGCATTTTAATAAACACTACTTTCAGATAAAATCATCCCGTTGCCCGAATTAGTAACAATGCTTCATCTAAGAAGTTTCGACATCAGACTATTTTCTCTGCTACTACAAGGAAGGAATATGATAAACTTGGAAATAAATAGCTACTGGTCTAACCAAAACATCTTTGCTGCTAACTTTCGTAAACAGACTTTCATGTATTATAGTGATTAGTGTGTGTAGCTTAGTTGTGGCACAAAGCCGAAAATATGGGGCTCCCAATGATGATCGAATTCATTACGCAATTTTAACCATTGGACTACATGTGATGTGTGTTTAAATCACGCAAGAAGCTGTTTTTATTCCCTTATGATTCTTAATGCACATATAGTGCAAATCGATATAGGTATTTCAGCATATGAAATAAGAAGAGAATAAATACGAATTAAAAATTAATATCTGTGCAGTGTTCAGCATTGCGAACTCTTGGATTGAACCTCAAACTCCTTGCTGTTCATTATGATCACCTACCATGAAGCTAAATGCTGAAGCAGTGTGTAAAATATGCAAATCTGTTCCGAAGAGCTACTTTCGCTGGTTCCCAGACTTCTACTAGGTTGGCATCTCAGTCCCACCCTTTCACTGTAGAAACGGTTAAATGTAACCATCTCTTCTACTCAAACAGCTTCTTCTCTCGCTCTTTCTGTCTGTGGAACTCCCTTGATTGCTTCCCCGATAACTATAATCTTCAAATATTAAAGTGTAATGTCAATCGACATCTGATACTTTGATCTTGTTCTCCGTGCTTCTCTGTATATTTTCCTCAAACACGTCTCTTTACTCTTGTTCTCAATCCTCTGTAACCCCTTGCGTACTAGTGGCACCCCGCTTTGTTTGGGATGAATTGCTTAAAAAAAAAAAAAAAAAAAAAAGAAATGTAGAACCATGCTCATCAGATTATTTTTAAATCCACAGGTTGAACAATATCTGGCACGCACGCTTGTAGCTAATTGTTATATTAACAAGCAAAGAACGCGGTTAATATTTCAAAGTCCTAATGCATAATCTTTGTCGCGTTATTAACTCGATATATTCGAATTTTCCCTGTTAATTAAATATCACTTACGTACGAGGTTCATTTTGGCAATTACTTTCATCCTTTCGAAGTTGTCAATGTTTAATTTAAGCGAAATAAGCTACAAGATAGCTGTGTTCGTTAGCCTAATTTGAAACCTGACTTATCCTCAGTGAAGTTATGTTAACAAGGGTCACTGACCGGGCAACATTGATAAAATATCTTTATCCATTCCTATAACCTGAAACTTGTCGACTGCCGGCAGCAACTAAATGTATCTATTAAATACGGGCTAGTGCATTAATAAAGTTGGAATTGTGACATGTAAATGTCACCTCAGACTGATGCTAACGTTTCATGTTAAAAGGTTAAATAGAAGAACTTTTGAACTGATTGACTGTTTCAAAGCGGTTTGACCATTTTACCCAAGTGGGACCAGCGGGCAAATAGAAATATACAATCACTGTCTCTAATTACCCTGTAATTATAGCATTTCTTCTGAGAGATGTCTGCTATTGGTATCAGGTTATTCGGAAAGTAATGTCACACATATGGAGACGGAAGAAAATAACATTCAAATGTAAGAAAAATTAAATTTTGTGAAAAATATCATCATCATTATCAGTGGCAAGTGCCATCTGTGATTTTTTCTCTCTTATGAAAAGAATCTTGGATTCTGGCTAAAACGATTTCTAATCGTGCTGATATTAACCCTTTTAAAGTTTTGCCACCAAGAAAGTATTCCAGTGACTAGATAAAATGTAAATATTACGTTAATTGATTTAGGGAGATATGATAAAATATTCCAATCAAATTTCATCTCTTCTGAGGTATTTTAAGCTAGAAAAATAACTCGACCTTTGATTTTCAATGTTAATATGTATTTTCTATTCAGAATTCAGGATAGATAATGATTGACTTAAAGGAGTTAATATTGTAAAGTTCAAGTCTGTCCTGCACAGTAGCGGTTCTTAAGGAAAAGTTAAGTTGAACTTCCTGCTTACTGAAGAATTGATGATGGTTCCATAAGGCGTGTACTTGCTGTAAATATCTGAACTGGTGGAACTAAAGAATGAAATTCGTTTGAGCATTTGTAATGGAAACTTGCAACAATGTGTCTGTGGGAAAGACGATGGAGTGTGGAAAATGTACCACCCTACACAAGACCGCGAATACGATTTTGAATTCTATCAAAGATGGAAATTTACGACTGTGCAGCAATATTCCATTTTTGGTCTAATCAGACATAGCCGAAGGAGTCAAATATTTTCTGGGGTGATAGAATGAGCCCACCAGTTTTCAAGCTTCTTGGGCAATGTGTTCCACTTGATTTTGTGACCGGTGTAAATGTTAAAGTTCAAAAAAACGTTATTCTTTTTATCCTTGAAATTCGAAACGTTTTATGAAATATGTATAGTCAATGAACATAGACGGAGAGGAACACGTGTCGCTTCTACAATAACGACAAATACCCGTCTATGCCAAAATTAGGTTTCACTTTCTTGAAACAATTAAAATACAATTTTTCAAAATTCAAGCTAGATATATTCTTTAATTTGAAGTCTAGGGTTTTTAATAATTCATCAAAACCAACTTTTAAAGAATTTTGCATGTATTCCATAAAATTCCATATTTTAATAATGACTAGAATTATGGCTGAAGGTGCTAGAGCTATAAATGTTGAACAAACCGACAAAAGATAAGCATATTACTATAAAAAACATATTTTGTGTGTTCACTTGTTTGGGTAGACACCTTGTTTTTGTGGGGGGGTGCATTTTTTAACAGTGAAATTAAGGTCTACCGGCTTGTAGATCGTGTCCCTCCTGACCTGCATGACCTATTTCAATCAGGAAAACCATTTTACACGTTCACGCCAAATGCATGATGGATATTGCAGGATTGATAGCAAGTCTTTTCAAATCTCATCACCTTAATCCCTTGGTCAAAACAACCAAAATTCTAAACACGGATTTGGGCACGCTTCCAAATACGCCAGTTAAATTTCGTTAGCCTTTATTTATTTGTCTTCAGACAAAATCCTGGTAATTTTTTTATCTTCCTCTTGATGCTTGTGCCTTGGAATGTTCATAAAGTGTATTCCTTAACTTTCTTACTGGCAACAACATATTAGTCTCGTGTTAACAACAGTATAAACTAGTTACTGTTGAACATTGACAGTAGTCTCATTCAGCTTTATTTTTTCCAGGTTTTTGCTTGATTTAGTTTTCATGCTGTTATAGCCATATTTACGATCAGTTATCTTCTCTTTTTGATGGTTTGGATTATCAGACTATAGAACTATAAATAGACGTTCAAAGCATTGAGCTTCATTGAGTGTATCACCGTTCATTGTGACTGGAGAAAACCCAGGGTCCGATCTTTTATGCGGAAATGATACTAGTTTGCTTTTTGAAACATTAAAACGTATAAACGAGTTTTTCGCCATTGAGTTTTTAGCGCTAGGTCAGAGGAGGGATCAACTGCAAGGTCTGATGCTCTTGCTATCTAAGTTTCAGTGTTGCGATGATGTATATTCAATATTGCACAATTTGAATTTTGATTTAATTTCTTATCGCAGTATTCTAAAACTCACATCGCAACTCCCGGGGGCTCCTGTATAATGCGATGGGAGAGAGTAATTTATAATAAGGCAATCGATATAGTAATTACACAGAAGTTTTATTACTCATTTTCTGCCACTGTCTACTTTCATCATATTCCACGTTATATTCTCGCCTGCCTTATCTTACAATTTAAAATGGCTTAAAGAGCCCAAGATTAAACAATTTTATTTTTACACATTATATTATCTTATTTTGGTCTTTATAAATGCCATGTTCCTTCAGAACGTAAATTCACTACAAATTACTTTTTTTTTTATTTATGAATTTTAATACATTCTTGTAAAATAAAGTTGTGTGGCTCTCGTTGCCTTCTTTGAATACAGTTTTACTTCTTTCAGACTGGTTGCCACAGAAGGCTAGAGTCTAGTCTACACTATTCAATCCATAAGTTGGACTTTATTTTTACATAATTTATTTTTAGTTTTGATTGGTTTCTTTATTTGGAAGTGCTTTTTATCAAAATATTTTTAGAATCCCACTTCATCAATAATCTCACTCTTAACACTCACAGACACACACACGTACAGACAAAGAAAAATAAAGAAAAAGGATTTTTTTTGTTACTTGCTGATTTGAAATATGTATGCGGAGTAATGTCGTGTTAACTGATTCCGATCGCGTTTGCCAATTGACAAGACGACAAAAATGTATGAAAAGCACAAACCACAAAGACAAAGATGAAAGTCTTAAAAGAAAAGCAAATATTCTGGCATCTGTTACGAATTTTAGGTTCTGCTGATAATTACATACCACACTAGCAAGAGATGGTTAGAAAATAGGCCGGTCTTAAAGTGACATTTCCCGCCTGGACAAACACATATGTATATACTTACAGGAAAAGGGATTTACATTTACCACTGACCCTTTTGTCGTTTAAAATTGGTCTTTTTAGAGAAATTCTCTTGCATTGTTTCTTCCTTTATTTCCTTACTTCCTCTCAACTTACTTTTTTTTTTATGAATCTTTATTTTTAAATTCCAAATCCCGTTTTATGTTAGTTCTTTCTTTGCCTTTCTTCTCTTTATTCTATCTTAAAGTTAATATTGTTACCATACGTTCCAATCTTTATTTTTCTTTTTCTATTTCCTTCCTATCTTTCCCTTCCTTCGCCATCATCATTTTCTCTCTGTATATTTAAACTTTCTCTCTCTTCTTCTCTTCTTTTATTTATTTGTCTATTTCTTTTTTTCTCCATTTACTTTTTCCCGTTCAATTTTCTGTCTCTTCTTGTCAACTTTCCTTTTACTTAATTTCTTTCTAAATAAGTTCATTTCCCAGCATTTACTTTTCTGACACTAATTTCCAACCACAAAGGGTTACATTGCTTACCACTCGAGGCCCTTGACCTCGAACGAATATTGAACAGCTAAACACAACCGCGCTTTCTTCATCTATTAAAACTCACATTTGTAATTGTTATTGGAAACCAGAAGACCTTCAAAATAACCTTACCAACATCAACACAATTATCCTGATTATTTAAAAATACTTAAAAGATTGGACCTGGATAAGAACTACAGTTCAGTGACTATCTTTAATTTCTTGCGTACTTGTCAAAAAGTCACTATCTTAAATCCCAGGACATTCAGTGAAGATAAAAGTTTCTGTGTCAAGATAATTAAGTGGGTGGTGTAAAGTGATTTGTGATGATGCAGAAAGAATCTTTGGGTTTTATTTGTTCTACAGTTTGGTTATTCGAAAAAAAAAACCCTTGTCTAGAGATCAAGGGTCACTTTCAAATCAATTTAGAAAAGAGTTGATACACATGAAGGAAGTGAAAACGATATCAACAATATAAATAAAAAAAAGTGATTTGCGATTTAGGAATTCAAGCAGATCTTCCTATCTCCAGCCAGAAACCAACGTTTTTGTGCACGAGGAAAGAAAAACCTCGAAGACGGTTGCCAGCAAATCGACTAACGAAAATGAAAGAGAATTAAAATTTGAAATATTAGGTCTTTGTCTGTGAACCTATGAAACATGAAAGAGTCATGTTGATAATGTACTGAGATAATCCCAACAAACTGCAAGGCAACATTTAAAAAAAAAAAAGATTTAGGAAAATATTGAAACAGTGTTGATGCCTGCGAAAGATATCAAGATATCCGTGGCTACATGCTCTTACTAGATGACCAGAGTTAACTCACTTTGACTTTTAATATAATAACAAATCCAGAACTGTTTCGAGGACAAACGGTATCAGCATCTATCAGAGACTGTTGCAGAAAACAAAAGAAGAATAAAATATTCAGAAACAAACGTATCTTGTCGAGAAGACCGAGCGTGATAGTCGGGATTTAGAGACGAGTAGGTAATATTGTAGACGTGATCGTACCAGTAGACCACAGGATGCTTTTGGATGAAAATAATTGTTTCTGATTAATCACTCGGAAAGTGATTTGATAACAATTACGTAATCAATTTCCGTTCATAAAACAGTTTAATACGTGAAATGAAAAGAAAGACGAGATAATTATTATTAATAATTATTTTTACAATTATAAATAATAAGTTTTCCTAAAGTATTCGACGCCACAGAAAAAAAAACATGGCGGTAAATTCGGTCAAAACAAAAATTAAAATTAAATTACTGTTGTACTTCCTGTATGCTCTACAATTACTTTGGAACGCTTGCATAAATTTATTTTACAAATTAAGCAATAACTCGTCTTTGAAATCATCAATAAAACTTAAGAGCACCAAAGGACCTGAAAATTAAATTGATTGAGGCTTATCAACCCGGGGAAAGTTATACACATTTTCTAGGCCGTTTAATATACGTAGTTCTACTGTTTTATCCAAAGATCATAAATAGAATTAAATTGGTATCGTATCAATGCATGCAAGATCGAGTTGTCCAAATAAGATTTCAACAGGAGGAGTGAATAAAATTACCATGCAACTTTTCAATTAAATCAATATCAAGCGTAAAGGTTATCCAGACAGGTCTTAAAAATGCTGATACATGCGTTTCAATAATTCGTAGAACATTGAACCAATCAGCATTTCATGGATGGGTTTCACACGAAGAAAGTTACAATTGAAGAAAACAGTTTTAGGGCGGAAAAATAGAACACTATAAAAAAAAAAAACTTCTATCCGCCAGTGAACTCTCTTGGTGGGCAATATAGATTGCTTTATCGTAACGAGAACCTCACCATGACTGAGAGAAAAATGAATTCGATAAAACCTCAGTCCATTCATTCGAAAAATATTTTATCCTTTGCTGTCCTAACTTGGTAAGTATTTTCTTCCTACAAGACAATAACCTGAACCTGAAACAATTCGAAAAATCACCTCAGAATGGTTTTAAAAGAATATGGTTAGGATAATGGAATAGCGTTTGAATCGCCTCAGAATGGTTTTAAAAGAATATGGTTAGGATAATAGAACAGCGTTTTGAATTGCCTCAAAATGGTTTTAAAAGAATATGGTTAGGATAATGGAATAGAGTTTTGAATCGTCTCAGAATGGTTTTAATAGAATATGGTTAGGATAATGGAATAACCTCTTGGATTACCTAAACTAAATCCAATTCTTTATTTGTTGCAGGATTTCAGAATTGTCTATAAACGAAAACCATAAAATCTTAATCATTTCGAATGGTTCTTCAAAGAAGAATAGAAAATATACTAGGCGAGATAATCTGAAGATTTACTAATAGCAATGGTAATATTCGCCGTTTTCTGATAAGGAAACATTCGCCATTTATTGTATGATCTACGTGTACTTCAGTTGATCGATATTTATAGAATCATTCTGTTAAAACATTTTTTTCAAGCCGAATAACTGTTATTGCCCTTTCCAGTATTGATGAGGTTTTCCTTCCTAAGCTTTTGTTTGAAGTTGTGTGGACTGTCAACATCTTGATTGATTTTATTTTCTCTTCGACTTACATTTTAGCTGTTGCTACTCTTGATAGTCCCCACATAATGTGATTCCTGTTATTTGGTAAAATTATCTGTTTGTGATTTTGTAGCGCCAGTCCACAAGGTTCGTAAAAGTGTAGCCTATAGGTGTCACTCGCTGAAAGCTATTTTAGCCATTGATCTTAGAAAGCAGTCGTATACAGCTGACAATTTTGAACGGGTTTGGCGCCATATATGGCATCCATATGAAAGTGTACAAGAAATGTCTATAAATATGGATCGGTTATAAAGAAGCCTCAACTAAGTATTACTTGACAGTGAAGTCGAATATTTATGCAAATAATTATAACAAATTATTGATAATTCTGGAAATAAAATAATATTTACTATCAATTCATATATTCCTGTAAACTATTTTACGCAAAAGATTTTATAAATTTCAACTGACAGCGACGCTAACTGTCCTGTTACTGAATGTCGAATGTTTTCTTATAAGGAAACGGTTAATCTCACCGATACCATTATACTGTTAGTAATAGCAACTAACTATCTTTCTTTAGGTTTTATCTTCATCGCTATGTTCTAGTTAATGTATCGGCTATTTCCTAGATATTTCTTCTGAGGTGTTCACTCAGCAACATTTTAGGAACATTATTTGTTCTCGTTATTATGTTTCCTAAGTTTCTGTTCATTTTTCTGTTCGTTTTACTTTAGATTTAAGCTATTCTGCGTAGCCTTCGGAGCCTTTCCTTTGTGAGCCACCTGTATTCTTTGAATCCATTTGTCGTGAGGTCGACACAATCCTAAATGGTGACTAGCTTTCACCTCTTTCTTTTTTCTGTCGACCTCCTATATAAGTTTCCTTCTTTAGCATTATCATTATCTTCTATTTCTCAAGCAGATCTCATACCGTAATTTAAAGATCAGAAGCTGGTCATAACAAATGACCATAGGTCCCGGTCATTTCTTCACCTCTCTACTTCGTCAAAACTTTTCGCAAAGATCATGTTGTCGCAAACAGTGCTTCCGAATATCAACCATAATTTTACTCAGCCATTTTAAAATTCTCTTTGTTACTGTTCTAATGGCGCCAACAACAAGAACAACTTTTATATTCTTAAGCCCATACAAGGGTGCTATCTCATGTTTCAAATCTTGATACCTTTCCAGCATCTTTTGTTTTTTCTCATTTAATTCCCCTAGTACCGCAATATCGATAATTCAACACTGTCTTCCTTCTGGACGCTGATGATGTCTGGCCTTCTTGCAATATTTACATTATCATATTGCCCAGGCAATTCCCAGAACAGCTTTAAACTCACATTTTCTACGACTGCAGGTATTTTATGCTCATACCACTTTTCTACTCTCTTCAGTTTATATTTACAATATAGCAGTAAATAAGAGCATTGGTTATAATAAATATAAAACTTATTGAAAATTTTATAACATTTCCTCAACAAGCGTCTATCGTAAATTAGACAATAAAACCAAAGTACCGAAAATTCAATAAAATATTAGAATGTTTATAATATTTTAAAGATTACAGGATAGTCAAAAATTATTTCCCATTCACAATCGTAATCGTCAGGTTAGCAATAATTCTGTCAACACCTCATAAAAGCACACACTTCTGTGTTAAAAGAAAATGCTTTTCTGCGATATTGTAAACTGAAAGTAAGAAATATTTCTTTAATTCAGATTTAAGTAAAATTTAAATCAGTTAATGTTTCACAAATAAAGTTTCAGGAATGTATATTTTATTTTCGAAAGATTTTTTAATAAAAAAAACTACGCCGTGTCGAGCGATTTTAACGATTTCAAAAACAATCAATTTAAATTAGGTTTGCTTTTTGCAAATTTAATCTATTAGCTATAAATTAAAACTAAAATAAAACCTTCAAGAAGGGTTTTTCATTTTTTTAAATGCATTTTAAATCTTTGGTAGTGCTTTTTTGGAGACACAGGGTGCGATGGATAATTTGTTGTTTAAATTACGCAAAAATGAGAAAAGGCACTGACATCTAATTTTAACAGATATATTTTCCGACATTACCCCAAGATATCTTGAAATACTAAAGAGTAAATTTATTCAGTAGAATCGCCATTGGCTTTAACCACAGCCTTCAGACGACTTCGGAATCTCCTGCAATTTTTTCTGGACACTCACTTTGATTAAGTTGGTGAAAGCAGCAATAATCTTTGCCTTTTCATCGTGGGTTTTAGAAGGAGTTTTATTTGTCTCTGGCTCAATAATAAAGGGGGTTGCAGTCTGGGGTGTCAGATGACCTGATGGAAGAGGTATTGTGATCGCAGAAATTATCTGACAGTCATGACCGAGTTCTCCTGCATGTGTGGCATGTTCCGGAGTCTTGCTGCCA